TGACTTGATCAAGTTAGGGATCAAGTTAGTTACTGACTTGATCAAGTCAGTTACTACTTTAATCAAGTTAGTTACTGACTTGATCAAGTTAGTTACTGACTTGATCAAGGTAGTTACTGACTCGATCAAGGTAGTTACTGACTTGATCAAGTTAGTGATCAAGTTAATTACAAACTTGTTCAAATTAGGGTTCCAGATAGTTACTAACTTGCTTAAGTTAGGAATCAAGTCAGTTAATACCTTGATTAAGTTAGGAATCAAGTTAGTTACTAACTTGATCAAGTTAGGAACCAAGTTGACCATGTCAGCTGCTAGCTTTACTTAGGAACCACGTTAAATTAGTCACTAACTTGATTCAGTGCTAACTTTAATAAGCTAGTAGATGATCGAAATGAATTCGGCGATCTGCATTTCGATGAAGCTCTTATCGACAATCTGTATTTCGGTGATGTTGATTTCGGCGATCTTTCTTTTCGATAATGTTTGTTTCGGCGCGAGTTTCGGCGATGTTATTTTTCGGCGATATTGCTTTCGGCGATGAGGCATACAACCAATTTTATAAACATTACAATTTTAGCATGAAGTGCCATTTTTCTCAATTTTATAAATGCTCCCAAACAATGAGTTTTTGAGATTATGTTCTATCCAATGGTCAAATCAAAATTTCTAAAGAATGCTCACGAAAAATAAAACAGACTAATTTTGGGGGTCAATTTTCGGTAAAATCGACTTTTCAGCCTGCTCTACTGAAGTTAGCGCACGATTTGAATCAAAACTGAATATCAATTCTTACATAACTCGACGAGGGCTACAAAACTAACATAGTGAAATCTTGCCGGCAGAAAGTCGATGTAAAAGTGGGCGGGCCTACGTGGAGACACCCTAATACAATTAACAGTCATGAACGGAGGATATGTCTTACTCTCACAATAATTGAAAATTATTTGTTATTACTCACTAAAATTAGCAAGATTTTTTTTTCATTAAAAAATATTAATCTATGAAACAAAAGATGCCTCAATTTTGTTACGAATAAAAATTTTTTTGCTAGCTGTCAGTCATAAAAACTTCGCATATTTACTTGTCTTGTGATATATCCCTTCACTAACAAGGCAAGGTTCCCGAATGTGAATCTTCATTTTCAATTAACTTTATCCGAGTGGATGGAATTCAATGAACTGATTACAATGGTATAATATGCTCTTCCCCATAGACTGTCTTTGAGGAGTTAGATTGATCTCAACTTTAGAAAACTGAGTGTATGCTGTTATTTTAGAAACTTTAACTTTCATCTTAGTTTAATTCTTAGCATCCAAAATTTAAACATTGAATGCATCTTAATTAACTGTACACAATCAATTAAGATGCATCAAATGTTAAAGTTTTGAATACTGAGAAGTAAACTAATCTAAAAATTAGAATATCTGAAATCATAGCCTACATTCATTTTTTCTATAGTTAAGATCGATCTAACCTCTCGGAAAGAGTCTCTGAGGAAGAACGCATTATGTCATCGTGATCAACTCATTGAGCTCTGAAAACTAAACAAGAAGCATCTTAGATAATAAAAATATCTTTTTTTTTCCTGAATGCTGTTTTATAGTTCTAAACCTAATTTGTCATTGCTAATTTCATTACGACTTCCGTTCCACATTGTTTCGAAAGTGATATAAAATATTAGTGGAGAATACATTTATTCTATTTCGTTTAGGACATTTGTATTGTCATATCACATTAAAAGTTCGTGTTACAATAACTTTTGTGTTTTTCAAAATTTGAAAAACATTTACTTTGACAAAATCAATGGGTCATTTTTCAGAAATAAATAATGAAAATTTTTATTACGAATCTTTGTTTCTTGATAAAAATATGTATGTTTTCAAAAAAAAACATCAGAATATAAGATAACAATTTTTCTATCATTTAATCTCAAATGGAACTTGTTCGACATATGCCACAAAATTTTATCACATATATTGGACATTAATTTTCTATAAAACGGTAAAGTTTTTGTTGCAAACTATATAGGAAATAATAAATAATGATTTCCTGAGATAAAGAAAACTTTGTAATGTAATATTATTTTTCTTATTGTTAATTATTCTTTCTCTGTGTCATTCATATCACATTTTTCAACGTTAAATATTGACAATAAAGTGAAAAATGATTGTTTTTTTTTCATTCATATTTATTGATCGATTGGTGCAAAGACATTTATTAATTGAAAGAAAACTATTCAAGAAAATTTCATATATTGATACTTTCATTATTTCTTTGATAAAAATTTTTTTAGATCTAATTATACATTTATCTTAATGATGATTTCTTTTGAAGTCAAAGTGTTAACATTGTACATTGAGAGTATTTTCTATGTTTATTTTATCATGTCATCAATCAAATATATCCTTCAAGTAATCTTTACTAACAATCTAAATTGTTTGTTATCACCATCGAAATCGGATTGATCTTATTGTTTTTATTTGTATTATTCATCCTTATAGACCAAATGTTTCTTCGCCTTGTGTATACATATGTGTCGTTGTCTATGTGTATGCGCACATGTATACGACTATTATTATTATTATTATCACTATCTCTTCATTTAACTGGCACTATTTTTCTTTTCGATAGACGAATGATCAAATAGTGATAAGTATTGTTTAGAGATGTGTTTTCTTTTTATCTATCTCAAAAATAAACTTGATGTAAGTATGAAAGAGAGAGTACAGTACTATTGATTGTTTGTTTAAATATCTAATATTAAAATAAATAATAAAGGAGATTTCGGTAAACAATCAATTGATTTAGCACCTCACACTCGTATTTCATCAAAATAAACATTAATGAACGGAAGCCTTTGTATATAGAACGGTCGAAAGGTCGTATCATTTTATGAAACTAAAGCACGTAGACATTTTTCATCATTATCCTTTTTTTTTTCTTTCTATTCTTTTTCTCTTCTTCATTTTCTCGTTCATCCTTTATATTCACTATATCTGACTGAGATGCCAAATGTTTCCGTTCTTTATATATTCAAGGTTATTCATCTTATTCTAGATGCTAATAGAAATGATAAAGGATGATAATAATAATAATAATAATAATAATAATAATAATTTCATAGAAGAAATTGATGATAAAAATTGGATATTAGAAAAACCAATATCAGTATTGGCTTTGGATCAAGCTGATCGACGTGTTTTAAAAGTAGCTGATCAACGTGATGCTGTACAAAAAAAAACATTTACAAAATGGATGAATTTTTATTTATCAAAAAGACATGGTTTATATGTTGATGATTTATATTTTGATTTAAGAGATGGACATTTACTATTATCTTTATTAGAAATATTTACTAATCAAACAATTGTAAATTTTTTATTGGAAGAAAAATTTCTCAAAAGAAAAATCTTTCTTATTTAGACTCGTGAACGAGGTACATCAAAATTTCATGCATTAAGAAATATTGAACGATGTCTTCAATGTCTTGAACAAGATCATAATGTAAGTAATAAGAAATATCATAAATGTCTTTTGTTTTTGTTTATTTAATAAAGATTTAGATTCGTCTGGTAAACATTCGACCTGAAGAATTAGTTAATGGTAATCCAAAATTAACATTAGGTCTCATTTGGCGTATTATTCTTCATTTTCAAGTAAGTTAATTAATCTAACAAAGAAAAACACAAAAGAATTGAGGTCAAGAAAAAATTACTATAAACAAGTATAGTACATCCTAATGTTCATCTAGATTAGCACTAACGAGAATACATATCTCAGTATTGGAAGCTGTTTAATTTCATAATATGACGACGAGTCAGTTCGTATGAGACTAAGAAAAGATTCAAATTTGAACTATTCGAACTGTAATTCATTGTTTGACCTCATATTGAACGTACAAGAAGATTTCGGTAATACTAGAAAAACCTTCAAAGGGTTTGTGCCTATGAATCTCTGGAGCCGGGTTATAACTATTTTCGATCCAATTTAAGGTGTTTATCGAAAAATCAAATACTAGAATTTTGTCTATAGCTAAGCCTAATAACTCTTGAAATATTCTGAAAGTTTCAGCCGAAAGAATGTTCCTTTATCAAGATATTAAATTTTCAAATTCGATTTTTGTGAAAAGAGACTATCGGTTGAAAATTTAATATCTCGACAAAGGAACATTCTTTTCGGCTGACACTTTCAGGATATTCTAAAAATCAGAGCTCCGTAGGATAACTGAAAAGTCGTCCCATCTTAATCGAAGTACAATTGAAAAAAGTCTAGCGAGTTTATACTTTTTTCTTTAATATAAATCATTTACTTTATGAGGCATCTGTTTCAAGATAACACTTGCATGGCAACATTTTTATTATAAAAATAAACAATGAAAAGATTAATAAGAAGTACAACTTTAAATACTGCTCATCGAATAACTGATCTAAGAAAAGGTATTTTGTCGGAATGTGGGTGTGCGTGCTCTGAAAAAAATAATAAAAAAGATTTGTAAAATCTTTGCAAAGTTCTGTCTTTCACCCGAAAAAATAGAAACCTTTTTTTCATGGGTTCGACTGTCCGATAAAACGCAGAACCTTTTAGAAGCCTAAAAGATTCTGTAAACATCCTTTATTTTTTCCAGAACACTAACAACCCTGCCTTGCATACAGTTGGCGGGACACACAAATGAATTGATCTTATCGTGTACCGTCCTGCAGCAAAGCGAGACTAGTCCCGCGAAACTCTGTGAAGGATCATTGTACCTATCTATGGATAAGATTGCAAGTCGAAAATCCCGTAAAACGCGTTCATAGTTCGGCTCCAGAGATCCATAGGCATAAATCCTTTGAAGCTTTTTCCAGTATTATCGAAATCTTCTTGTGTGTTCAATAGATGACTTACAGCCCAAGTAGTTTCCTCATCAATAAGCCATATAATCTGAATCTTTTTAAGCTTTTCTTAGTCTCATAGGAAACTACTCGTAGTCATAATATCAATTTGAACGGCATCCGACAGTTGAATATGCTTCCTTATGAGTTGAAAACTATACAATTCATTATAGAATCCTTCACCTACCCGGGAATCAATCCTGATAGCGAAAACAAAGTACAGATCGTCATTTTATTCTTGTACAGTTCATTGTGTTCATATGTAAATTGAATTTTTTAAGAAATTATGAATATCTAATCATTTCCTAATTTTTATTCTAGTTTTCTGATCTACCTTTATCATCATCTAATAATGAAAATATTCCAATAAATTCTCAACAAACAATACCATCATCATCAGAAACAATATCAATCAAAAATTCTTCTAAAAATTTATCAATCGATCAAGTACCATTAAATTATCGTAATATGTTATTAATATGGGCTCGTCAACAATGTCAAGATTATCCAGGAATTTATATTGAAGATTTTACATATTCATGGCGTAATGGTCGAGCATTTCTTGCTATACTTCATCGACATAAGTTAGTTTTTTTTGGAACATAGATTTTTTTTGTTTTCTATTTCATTATTTTCTTGTTTATTAGTCCACATTTAATTGATATTAAACAAGCATATTGTCGTTCAAATCGAGAAAATCTTATTCAAGCTTTTGAATTTGCACAAAAACATTATGGAATTACACAACTTATTGATCCTGAAGGTAACACTTTACTCTAACTCTAATAAAATGAACAAGACATTTGTTTGTTTTCTTTGATATTTAGATGTCGATACAGATGAACCAGATGAAAAAAGTATTTTATTATATATCGCCTATTTATATAAAGCTTGTCCAACAATACCAATTCATCCATTACGACAAGAACATGATCGAGTTTGTTTTTTTTTATTTTGAAGAAATATTTTTGTATGAAAATTTTTTTCTAATCTTATTAGATTCGACTTCAAGATGAATTAGTATCGAGATATACAAATATTGCATCTAATCTTTTTAAATGGATAAAAATTAAATTAGATTTTTTAAATCGTGAAATTGAATTTAAAACTTTCGAAGAATTTCAAACATTTGAAAATATTTTACAAATAATAAAAAATGATGAATTATCAAAATATAATCAATTATTACATCAATTAAGATCGATTGATGTTGAACTCAAAGTAATAAATTTTGATCTCAAAGATCATTCAGTGATATGATGAACTTGATTTTTATTAATGATAGGAAAGTTGAGATATTGCTGATCGATTTGTGTATCCAAAGTAAACACATATGAAAAACTTGATACGAACGATGTTTTTCTATCTATAAATATTTCTCATAATTAATACTGTAATTTAATGCGTCTTTCTTCGCTTTACAGGACTCCTATAGACATCTGATTAATTTTCTCTTTCTCTCCACTGAAAAATATATGGTTCAGAATGTGGAAGAAGCGACACTGCTGTAACTAAGTCTTGATAATCCAACTGCTTTTTCTATGCGACAAGTAAAACAACACATTTATGAAACTTACTCAAAAAGTTTCAAAAATTATCTAAATTTGAAATTTTTCGGTAAAACATCCTCTTTTTAGTTAATTAAAGGCTCTTGTTCGACTATTGGTGCCAAACTTAATGCTTACAAAAAATATTTCAATATTAAAATTAAGTTCAGCATCAAAAACTGGATCGAACGGTATATATTTCGGGGATCACGAAAAGACACTATGAGAAAAAGTACTGAATGAGGAAGTATAGGGCTGTTCACATCAAAACATATACCATTCGATTCAATTTCTGATTCTTAATTCGATTTTAACGTCAAAATGTCTTTTCCGGGATTGGTTTTTGCGCAAATAGTCGAACAAGAGCTTGAAATTAATCAAAAAAGTGGATGTTCTATGAAGCCCATCGATTTCGGATCCATAAATTCTGGACCCGATAGACTCTATTCGTCTGAGAAATGTGTAGGATACGTTAGTCATTGAATACAAAAGACCTATCTTGTATCTTCAAGGCGAATGTCCGATTAGTAAATTTTATTGAGAGTGTCAATCAGATTCGGAAGCAAACATTTTCGATAGATTTTGAGAAATTTTCACTATTGAATTGTTAAAATTAGAATTTTTATACCGATTTGATGATTGGAGAATTTTCAAAACTTTTTGACTAAAAAAAAAAGATTATGAACATAGAATAATGGCACAGTTTTTGAGAATTTTTCTTTGCTGCAGAGAAAAGACAGTCGCACTCTAAAGAGCTAGTTTCACGAGTATCGTTTCTTCCATATTCTGAACTATATATTTTTTTCAGTGAAGAAAGAGAATTGATCGAGTATTTTTATAGAGCGAAGAAAAGCGCATCAAGTCATAATAACTATTTTTGGATAGAAAAAGAAAGTCGTTCGTGACAACTCTTAACGATGCGTTTTCTCCCGGATATACACAAATTGATGAGTAATATTGACTTCCTATCATTAATAAAAATTAAATCACTAAGTATAGAACAATGCGATGTTTTATGCTGTATATATTTTTAAAAATTTTCTATGAGTTAACAAAGTTCCGAATGTGAGATGGTTTTTTTTTCTTTTGTTCTTTGTTTTAGACTTTACAATTTCATGAATTATTACAACCTGATATTGAATCAATAAATTTAGCTTGGAATGAACTTGAAATAAATCTTCATCGAATTGAAAATGATCTTAAAAGATATAAAAGATTAATAATTGATTTAGATTTAATTGAACGTGATATTACAAATATTGAAATAAAAGTTTGTTGAAATTCAATAACAAAAAAAAAATTTTATTATTAATTTTCTTTTAGTCAAAACAATTTGATACTCATACAAAAATTAATCATATGAATGATATACAAATAAAATTAGATCAAATATTAAATCATTGTCAAACATTATTATTATCAAATGAACAAACTCAAAATCTTCTTGAACGTATTCATCAATTAAATTTACGTGTTAATATTCATTTAACTTTATCATCAACAATAACAAATGGTTTTCATCAAATATCAAAACAACAAGTGAGTAAAAATTAAAACAAACTTATATATCAAAATCAGTTTTTTTTTAATATCCTATTATTTTTCGATATTTCTTGCTGAGCAAAAAAAAAAACGAGCGATCGTACCCAATGCCCCTTTCTCTCTAAATCCGCCATTAGTATGACATAATTTGATTTCTTCAAAAGATGATTGAATATAGAATTATTAAATCTCTATTGAAAGTAAAACAAGCGAAGATGATGATTACAATATATGGCAGTTTCGAAAAGCTATAATGTTGACAAACCTCAGATATCATCAATCATATCCTACATCAGTTCGTGATAAAAAAAAAGAAACAAAGTGAAAACAGATTTCTTCTTTGTATTCTTATCCATATAGATCCACTATTGTTGCACTGACAGGAATGTTTCACATAAAACTCAATCAAAAAATAATATTTCTTATTTAAAATTCTAGAAGAGTATTGTTGAAGTAAATGATTAAAATATCGTAATTAGTTTGTCATTGCAAATATTTTTAAATTAAGTTTAGTTCAAATGAAATAATTCTATCAAGAATTTCTTAAATTTATCATATGATAATAAATCAAATTAGATGACATTTAACTTCATTTGAATAATTAAATGATTTGCTCGTTTAGCAAAAAAATGTCAGTAAAATTAATCTGCTTTTTATCGAAATTAGGCCATGTCTGAAGTATCTTTTCTTTAAATAGTTTAGATTAAATTATTATTCCGAGTCCTTCTCTTCGAATAAACATAAAGCCAGACAGTTATCTAAGAGAACAAACAGAAAATATCCAATCTTCCAAGAACAAAAAAACAACTCTGACCCAAGGATATCAATAAACTTCAAGACATTCCAGTAGGATATTTTGCAGCTCAATAGAACGACAAATAATTCAAGTTGATGTGCTCAAGGTTGTTATTTGTGCTAAATTCTACATGTATCATATAGACCTAAACAGAAGAATGGTCCTTGATGCTTATTACTGAAGACATCTTACAAACAAAACAGCATATATTTTATCATAATAGAAACAAAAAAAAAAGCAATAGAGATTGTTTTGTAAGATATTTATCTTTGGAATGCATAACCTTCAGACTGTTTTGTTATCTATCATTGAAAAAATTAGAGATTAATTAATTAATTTTCCTGCTTCATTTACGAAATTTTTTTTCTCTTATCATTGTATTTTATAAAGTAAAATAAATATAATTTTGTATTTGAGAAAGTTATTGGAAGGAGATGCCGAAAATTCAAAATTTTTGTTGTCAATTTATTTTGTATTGTTGAATAGAGCACATCGAATTACTTGTGAAAAACTACTTTTTTCTTTTTTCTTTTTTTGGAAACAAATTTTTCCTGAGAATATTCGAAAAATGATCAAATGCTAAATATCATTATAATCGTCAATTATCACATATATGTAAACATTGGTTTTTTTGTAGAACATTATAAAGGTTATTTTCTGATTCTGTAGACAAAGTTGGCCAAAACAGAAATCTTATGTATATATAGCTTTTTCATGATCAATTTTGTCTATACAATCAGAAAATAACAGTTACAGTGTTCTATAAAAAAAACAATATTTACATGTCTGTGATAATTGACGATTCTAATTATGATATTTAGAATTTAATCGTTTTTTAAAGAAATATTTATTTTGAAAAATCGAAAAAAATTAGTTTTTCATAGATAACTCGATGTACTCTATTCAAAAACATAAAATCAATTGACAACAAAAATTTTGAATTTTTAGAACCTTAAAATAATAGAAATAAGAACATTTTTTATATAAAGGATCAAAGGTGGCAAAATTTGTATTAAGTCTATGGTGACAGTTGTCCAATCTGAATGTGTATGTGTATGGAGGTGGAAAAGTCTAATACCAACACCCACATCTGCTAATCAAAAGTAGCTCTTTTTTGACATTGATACTAATAGTAACGTTTGTTTTAAAAATGTCAGATAATGTCATTATATGTTTTGTTTATTTATTTCTCTCTAAGATAGGATTTATTCAATAAAATTTTTCAGAAAGAAATATATTCGATGAAAATATCTGTTTCATTCAATATCGAAGAATCGATGCTTTGTAATATTAGATTCGCTTCTCCAGAAGAGAAAATTTGAATATATGAACAATAGAATTCTTGAAAAATTTCGATAATTATAAAAATAAAGAATAATTGATTGTATCTAATGTTTTTTATTTACAGACTCGTTCTTCTCCATCAACTGATAGTGAAAAACTAAATATTATTGTAACTGGAGATTTTAGACAAGATGTTAATTTATCACAATCTAAGAATACTGGTTCGTTGTTTATTTAAATACTAGTTTAGAATTTTAACAAAATTTTATATATTTAGATTTAATACAATCTAATATAAAAAATTTAATTGAAGAACTTTATTTAATTAATTCAAATATAAATATACTTGATCAATTACTTCAAAAACGTATAATATATTTCTTACAAACTGATTTATTAACATCCAATGATCAGTTTTTTACATTATATAAGCAACATAAGGTTAGACTATGCATGATTGATTTAATCAGAAACCAGATGTGATTTTTAAGAAAAAAAAAATACAAGGACTTTTTCTCTACAAATAAAGAAGAAGTCCGAACGACGAAAAAATGTACTTGAGCTATCAAGTATTAACTGTTGATATGTATCCATCTCTTTCAAGTTAACTATATCAGACAGTCAGCTGCCTGTGTTAACGGTGACAAAAAAAAACCAAAAAAAAAAAAAAGGAGATACATAGAAGATAATAGAACAGGTCATCAATAGTAATCAGCCTTGTTTTTTTGAGGAGGAAGACGAGAAGATTTTTTTTTCCTTCCTCCTCTTTTGTATTATTTGTCTGTATAAATGTCTCCGCGAATAGAAAAGAAGGAAAATATCATTAGATAGACGCTATCTCATCAACAACAAAAAACTATTCAAGAATATGTTGATTCTACTCGTGTTAACGGTAACATTGGTTATTTAACGAATAATAACAATCATTTTGTGACCATATGTATTCAATTGGTATCATCGTGTGCGTATATTGATAACTTGTGTTCATTAGACCATCAGTTGTGAACAAATAATGCAGCGCTCTTTTTCTTCATCGTGTGCTGATCATCGTTCATCAATGACAACATGTCGACATTTACCAATTCATTCTGCTTGTAATAATAACTATGATTATTACTCGTCCGATGCTGACTCGCAGCATCATACATATCTTCATCGAACATCATCGACAAGTAGTTTCTCTTCAACAGGCTCAACTTGCAGTGCTAGTTATCGTATTTTACCAGTACGTTATTCATCAGTTGATAGAATTCTACCAAAACCACCAATAGTAACATCTAATGAACGTGGTATTAACGTACGCATACAATTTGATCATCCACCTCAACATCATCATCATAAACATCATTATCGACATCATCGTCAACATAACATTGAAAAATCTGAACATCATCATCGTAAACATATGACTAGAGAACATCAACATTACGGTTCATGTCCTGTTCTTGATCAACATTATAAAAAATCAACATCATTAGGTCCATCAAATATAACATGTATTGAAACACGATCAATTGTACGAGATAATTCAAATGAACAACTTAATAAAAATAATTATTCAAATTCATTAACTATTCGTGATCGATCCAAACCTCGATCATCAATAACAAGTACACGTATAAAACATATTCCACTTGATACAAATGTTCTATCAACACGAGTTATTCGAAAAGAAGAGGAATGAGATATTTTTTAAAAAAATTCTTTTTTTTTTTAATTTTTCAATGAATTCTTTTCTTTTTTTTTTTTTTTTTATTTATTTTAGGACTTTGAAAATAATCTTCTTTCACACGCAAGTCGTATTAAAGATATTCGTAATCATATACGACAAGAATATAATACAATATCACATCATGAACTACGTTCATTAGTTAATCAAACATCAGATCATGTACAAAATCTATTTACAAAATCAAAAGATTATTCTGATAAGTAAAAATTAAAAAAAGATTTTGTTTTTTTGAATTCAATGAATATTTTTCTTTATTTTTCATTTAGATTGATTATTACTGAAACTGCTTTAAATCTTCTAAATACTCTTACATCTCAAATCATTGAAATAGAAACACGTTTATTATCTCAAAAAGCACTTATTGACGATGAAAATTATTTTCATCGTCAATTAAATGAACTTAACGAATTACATAATCAAGCACAAATACTTGAGAAGTCAATTACAGATCTTCTCATACAAAGTAAACAATTAGGTAATGACAAATTAATACATATTAGTGAACACTTATCATCACGTTGGCAACAAATTATATCAGAAATAATTCAAAGGTTTTATTGATTTTTCTTTTTTTTTTATTAAATAACATTTCTTTTTTTTTTGTAGGAAACGATCGATTAAACGAATCATTGAAACAAATCGATCGTTTAAAAAATTATTTGAACAAGAAAAACGTTTACTTCATCATATTGAAAGACGTATGCAAAGTCTTGAAACTATAACAACTGATAGAGATAAACTTCAAAGAATGTCAAAAACTGTTGTTGTATGAAAATAAAATTTTCACAAAAAAAAAAGAACTAAAATATTTTTTTTTTTCTTTTAAACATTTCTATTTTAGGATTTGTTTAATGATATTCTTTATCGAGCACAAGCAATTGAACATATGAATGATGTTGCTGTCAAACTTATACAAGAAGTTAAGGTAAAACTAGTTTAATTTAAACACAAAAAAAAAAAAAAACGCTACTAACGAGGGAACTTCTTCAAGTGTTAAATAGCTTTTCGACTAAGATGATGTTTGGTTGATACAGTGTCTTATCCAATGTGAGGATCGAAGAGGTCCGCACCTCTTCAAAAATTAAGTTCGTTCTTCCGAAAGAGAAAACCCGAAAAGTCTAGAATGGTTTATTTTTCCGAGTCTTCGTTCTCGAAATATCGGATTTGTATTGACGAGGAAGCACCCGCCATTCGAACTCATATTCGATTCACAGGCAGATTTCAATAAGAATAGCAAAAGACTAAAAGAGTTCGGCACTGAGTTATGATCGGTTTATTGGACATTCGACCTACTTTTAGATACTTTCCGGAAAGTCAAATAATGGAGTTTTGTCTATAAATAGATCTAATGATTATTAGAAAATCCTAAAAGTTTCAGCCGAAAAGAATGTTCCTTCGTCGAGTAATTGAATTTTAAATAAACTCGGTGTTTGTGGCAAAGAACTGTTTTTTTTTTTCGGAAATTCAATATCTTGATTATTTGATCTTCCGAAGAGTACCTAAAAATAGATCGAAAATCCAATAAACCGATCATCACTCGGCCCCGAATTCTGCTAGGTTTTTACTAGTCTCACTGAAACCAGCCTGTAGGTGCAATATGAGCTCAAACGGCGGGTATTTTCCGTGTTAGTAAAATTTCGATATCTCAAGAATAAAGGCCAGGAAAACCAAATCATTCTCGACTTTTCTATTACTCATCCAATTAGTATTTCATCCAGATATTCTCTTCCGGAAAGGTCAACTCGACTTTTGGAGAGACTCATTCCTCTTTGATTCTCATCGTTTCAATCGAAAAGCGATTTCATACTTGACGAGATTTCTTCGTAAGTTATATTGAAATGTATATTGTTGCATGTAGAAGTTTTGTTATATTTTGAAAAAAGAAAAATTTCATCATTATGTAGATGTATAACAAAAATTTAAAACGTTTTCGTGTATCAATACGCGATACAAATTCAAATCTAAATGCATCAATTTCTAATAAACAACAACAATATTCATCAAAAGTTCAACATATTTCTCGAGCTGTGTCAAATCAAGTTGAAGAATTTGATAGGTAAATAAAATATCTGAGATAAACAAAAGACAAACAATTTTCTTTTATTAGACATTATGCTAATCTTCTTGCTCATATGGAAGAATATACACGTTCATTTGTAAAAAATTCAAATACAATTGGACAAGTAATTAAATATTCAATTATGTTTTTGATTTATGATATTCTTTTTTTCTTTTATTTTGAATATTATCTATAGATAATTAATCTTCCTCTTGATTCTGCTGTAACAATTGTTCATCTTTATCGTACTACAATCGCAACTCGATATAATACTACTGGAGAATCTCTTTTTTCATCATCCGATGAAGATGAACAATCATTTTTATCATCATCTGTAAAACAGAATCAACAAAACAATGATGAAACAGGTAATCAAGATTAGTTATATTATCAAAAGTAATTGACCGTGCTTATCATCTCTAGTTCTTTGATAGATTGATTGATATGATATTCTGTGATGCTAGATTTTATTCTCCTGTATAATGAAAAAAAAAATCTCATACATAATCATATAAGCATACACACACACACACACACATGTGAGGAGGCAGAAGAATAATTATAGGATATACATGAGATAAGAAGATACTTTACTCTCCTATGAACAAGGTCGATCGCAGCGAACACATTTATATTCTCACTGTTTAGTTTTTCTTCCTCGTTTCTCTCTTTTTTTTTTTATGATCAAATGCACATGAAGAAGGTCAAATTGTATCGGCTAGGGTTAGACTATACTACAATTGTCCTTCTTCTTTTACTTCGTTCATTTTCAGTTGGTGATTAAGTGAGATGCTCAAATGAACTTTCTCCTAATCATTGATTTAATCCATCTGTATATGCGCTGCCTTATATTTTTTTTTTTTTTGGTGTCAAGTTAAGCATATAAAAATTGGACATTGCGATAAAAAAAAATGTATATATTTATTTCATTAAGATAGACATACACTAATAAACAACAGCTGATGACAATAATATCTTAAAAGAGAATATTAGCATTAACAGAAGCTATTTATCTTACCATAAGTGGTATTTTGGCTTTTGTTATTTTTTTTTTTTTTACATATTTTTATATGATAACAGGCATCTCTCGTCAACAGTTAAATCAAAGTAGTACATATATTGATCATACAACAATCTTTCATCTAGTTATTGTTATCATAAATGCCTACGCTAGTTTTGACAGTAATAGTATATCTGTTATAACATTCGTTTTAGACTCCACCCTTTTTTTTTTTTTTTTTGTTGATTGTGTATCACCACGAGTATGGTCATTCGCATTGATATACAATCCAAGGACTATAATAAGAGATAGATGTGTAATGGCGATATTGACACAGATCTAATCTCTTCGCTTGTCACATGTGTGGAGCTGAGCCAGTTACTTTAGTCGTTTTCATATTGAGAAGAAAAGTGCGAGAGAGAGAGAACGGATAGTGAATGCATATGTATAAGTGTGTGTACATATGAAGAGAGGGTGAAAGCAGTAAAAAAAAATATATAACTAATCGAAGCTTGTATGTTAAATGTGCATGCTCTTTCTTTTTTTTTTTTTCTCTCTGTTTTACATTTCTTCTTCTACAGCTTCCTCTATTGTCCGTCCGACCGTTGTTGTTGTATGGACGCTGCCGATTTATTCATTCATATACATTATTTCTTCATGTCCCTTTTTACGTCATTCATTTATATATTCTCGTCATTGTAAAATTGAAGCGTATATGTCAATCGAAAAAAAAAAATTTCAAGTGAAGAACAAACATCTAATATTCTTCTCTCTCTCTCTCTCTCTCTCTCGCTCTGAATACTTATGCAAATTGAAAGATTCATGATAACTTCATACAATCTGTTATTTTTCTCATAGGTTTTATTGACGTGTCACACGGAAAGGTCACTGTCGATCGTAATTATCATTATCCTTTATCATCATTAGACAATTCAGTTTCACTTGAAACTACTTATGTTATACCAACAAACGAATTATCATCAACATTTGGAATAGATAATGATTTATCAAATAATAAGAAAGTAAGATTTATCATTGAAAAACAACAACCAACATCATCAATTGTTAAAAGTAATATAATAATAACAAATATAAAATCCAATGAAATGACACAACGAAAAAATCTTTCGTTTGTTGATGCGGTCAATAGCAAATATCTCGATTTGTCAACGGGTCTTTTTTCTTCTCCTTTTCCATTCGTTCTTTCTTCTTCTTCTTCTTCTTCTTTGCCTTTTTCTTCCTCTACATCGCCGCCCGATCAACATCGCTACCCTCACAACCATTTTTCTTCTACATCGTCTCCGCCGCCACATACGACTACGACTACAACCAACAGCAAAAATCTTCTCTCTACGTCGCCGTTGTCGGTGAATAATCGTCCTTTTTCCGTTGGCGCAGACTCCACAACCACAACGACCATTACATTAAAAGAAGCGATCGATACAAATATTCTAGACTCGCGTAGCGCCTACGTGGTCGATACGCTCGAACAACGGTAAGTAAGAATACAAAAAAAAAAAATAAACTGAGGATTTTATTTTATTTCTTTATTATAAAATGAGACTTTTTTTGTATGTATATGTGCATATGATTGTTTTCTTATAAGTGGGTACAAAGAAAAGCAAGCAAATACGTAATAAATATTCAGTTAATAATGAATAGAATTTTATCATAGTTGTATCTGGAGCACGTTCGTTTTCTGTTTAACATATGAATAAGAAATTGATATATCGATGTAATATATATATATAAGACAAAAGTCTGTTCTTTATCTTACTTTTCAAATAGAAAAAAAAAGTCTTTGTTACATACATATATATATTGAGTTTGACATATGGCCAAGAAAAAATTGAAAACATATTGATTCATCTTTGTTTGTTTTTTTTTATACAATTAACGAAAGATAAATAAACGAGAAAAGAAAAGAAAACAAATCAATAAATATTTCTTCTTTATTTATTTATTTTTTAGTAATTACGATTTACGTGAAGCTTATTCTCGTGGTTTAATAAATTCAAATAATCATCATATTATCGATCGTGCTAAATCAAGAGAATTAGATTTAGGTGAAGGATTAAAAATGGGTATTCTTAAAGTTGGTGATCCACAATCATATAATATTATATCAAAAACTGAATCACTTATTATTTCAAGTGTATTTGATCATCGTTTAAATACATTTGTTGATCCAAATATTGCTATACGTACAAAAATTCTTGATCCTTATCATGGTTTATATATAAATAATTTAACACAAGAATCAATATCAATTGATGATGCTATGACAAAAGGTTTTATTATCGTTGAACAACAACATCCATTACAACAATCATCAAATCATCATACTGATAAATATGTTATATCAACATCATTAATACGTGAAACACGATCTTATCATTTATTAGGTGTTCGTGATTATCTTAATAATAAAGAATTAACAGTTCAAGAAGCTATACGTTTAGGTATATTAGATAAACAAAATGGACAATATATTAATCGAAAAACAAATGAAATATTATCAATATCTGAAGCTATTGCACAAGGACATATACGTGCTCAACCATTACCAGTTGAATCAACAACAAATCAAGATACATCAGGAATAAATAAACGTGGTACAGTTAAAGAAACTAAAACATATACACTTAAAAGTGCTATACATCCAAGAACACGTCAAGAAATTCCTATACGTGTAGCTATTGATGAAGGAATTATTGATCATGCTAAAGGTTATTATGTAAATAGTATAACAGGTGAAAATCTTCCAATAAGTGTTGCTATTGAAAGAGGTTTAATATTTACGGAATTGCTTGATCAACATTCAAAACGTTATAGAAAAACATTAATTATTGAACAAGTTATTGATCCTGTTACAAATCGTCGTTTAGGTGTTAATGAAGCTATTAAAATAGGTTTATTAAATTCAAATGTAACAACATATTATCATTCAGTTACACAAAAACAAATGTCTATACTTGAAGCATATGAACAAGGTTTAATTATTGGTAAATTTCATGATCAACATCCATCATCATTTTATGGTGATCAACATGAACAAGTTTTTTATTTAATAACTGGTATTGTTGATATACGTACAGATAAAATTTATACTCTTCAAGAAGGTAAAAAAAAAAAAAAAAGAAAAAGAAATTGAACAAAATAAATAAAAGAATTATCTTTTTATGTATATATATTTTAGGTATACAACAAAAATTATTTGATCATAAAAAAGGTGTTTATATGCATCCAATAACAGGTGATGAAATAAATATAGGTGATGCTGTTAAACGTGGTTTTATACAAGTACAAGCTGTATCATCACAAATTATATTTAATAGTACAGATCAAATATTAAATGATAAACGTCGTACAATAATAAGTCAAGAACCATATGGTAATATAAATGATTCACGTTCAAAATTATCTATACGTATTGAATCACAAACACGTCCACGTACACCTTATGAAATAAATGAATCTGAAAGTTTACAACATGATAAAGATGTTGTAGAAATTGAATCTATTCAACGTTTACCAAGACATAAAAAACAACATGTTATTACACGTGAAGAAGAAATTATTGAACAACATACAAAAAATATTGTTGATAGAGAAATATTTATTAATCGTAGTGGAATTAATCGAGGTAAATCAAATGAAAGACAAAAACAACAATATATTGAAGAAGTTGTTATTGATGATGGTATACCTAATAATCGTCGAGCTAAATTTGATATTAAAGAAGATCGACATACATCACATAGAGAAATTGTTATTGAAGGTGATAGATATATACCACCACCACCTAAAGATCAACTTATTATAAATGGTACTCAACGTGAACATGAGGTAATAGAGATAACTTTTAGATTTTAATTAAATTGATAAAGTTCATTGAAAAAAAAAGAAGATATATCACTATCTAAAAACTTTTAATTTCTTTTTAGGTTCGAGTTGTTCCAACAACACGTCCACCAAGACCAATATCACCACCACGTGCTATTCATATTGATGATCGTCAACGTGAAGGTCAGCGTATACATCATGGTGAAATTATTATTGATGATCATCAACGTTCATATACAACACCATCAACAACAACAACAACAATAAAAAAAGAATATATTGATATAACAGATAATCATGTTAAAACACCTCCAGTACAAAAACAACAAACAACTGATTATACCGTTGATGAACAACAATCATGGACAGAAGAAGAATGGGAACAATGGCATTGTATAATGATGATTAAAGGTCAACCATATCGTGTTGTTTGGGTAATGAATACAGCAACAGGTGATCGTTTACCATTACAAAATGCTTATCAACGTGGTTTAGTTGATACAAAACAACGTTTATTTTATGATGAAAAATTAAATCGTCAAACATATACATTTGAAAAAGCTGTTGAATTAGGTTATATGGGTATTGAACCTGATACAGCATCATTACCAATACATGTTGATGGTATTGATTATATGATACATTGGGTATTAGATTCATCAACAAAACGTCGAATATTTCCACGACAAGCTGTACGTAAACAAATTTTAGATCCTACATTTGGTCGTTATATAAATCCATATAATAAATCTCAAGTATCATTACATGAAGCTATTTATTTAAAATTTATTGGTGCAACTGAATATAATACAATAAATGATATATTAACAATAACAATTAATGGACAAACATATAATATAAAATGGGTTTATGATACACGTAATATGAAAAAAATTTTACCACGTGATGCATTAAAACAAGGTATTTTGGATATACAATTAAATGAATATCGTAAATTTGATACAAATGATGTTATGACTATTTATGATGCTATACAAGCTGGTTATATACGTTGTAGTGATGATGATTCATCATCAGATAATAGTGTAAGACCACCATCAATAATATCTGTTGATGAAGATGAATTAACTATAGCAACAAAAACAGCTACATATGTTATTACATCAGTTATACATCCATTAACACAAAAAGAAATCAAAGTATCAGAAGCTATTGATTTGGGTATACTTGATAAAGATATTGGTAAGATCAATAAAAAAAAAAAAAAAATTCTATTTTGATGAATTAGATGTCTTCTTTTTTTTCCCCCTTAATTATTGTTATTGTCGTTTTGTTAGAATGACATATTTTGACATATGTCTATTTATTGTTTTTTGGTCTTATGAGAAAGATCATTCTCTAAATAACTGACATTGCTGTCTGTTTAAACGAAAAACAATTATAATGTTTTTTTACATAACATAGTTAGACTCAAGGACTTATGTTTTTGTCGAATAAATTGAAGAAATGTAATTATACATATATTTATATAGTTTACAGAATCGACCCACTCATAGCTAATGGAACTGACAAACAATAATGTCTATGAAATGTACATAAGATTTTTACTAGTTTAAAAATGATTGATGACAACACCATTTGTAGCAAAAAAAGATTTTAACCAAAGTCCTATTAAATTGACATTTTGATCTGTTTATCTTTTAGACGGACAATTTGGTAAACATGATTGAAAACTAACATTAGCTTATCATTGATTAATGAAGCCACAAAAAAAAAAGTCTATTTATATTATAAATGAGAATAGTTGTTTACCCTATTGTAATGAAACTACACTATGAGAAAAAAAAATTCTCTCAACTAGAACTAAAGATTATTATCCAATGTTCTATAAAATAAAGTGAATTATATCAATCAAAGCATAATTCAATAGGACGAAGATAAAAAAGTGCTAATCATATCAATAAAAGAAATCAAAAGACGAGTAGTTGAGAATTTTAAAAGTGCAATACAAATAAATTCTGCAATAGTTTGCTCGTGACCTGAATTACTAAAAAAGAAGTTACCAGATCATATAGAGCCTGTCGAGTCTAAAGTTTTCGGATCCGGAACTTTTATTTTATTTTTTTTTTTTTATAGGTAGTTATCGAGATTTAGTAACTAATGTTCAATATGAATTAGCTGAAGCAATAAATGAAGGTTTAGTTTATGCAACAATAATTGAAACAAAAGAAGATACAGAAATGTTAACATCATCAGTACAAGAAATTGTGAGAAAATTTATTGTTAAAAGTGTAGCTGTTGATAGTGAATCACAAGAAAAAATTGGTGGTTTAGAAGCACAAGCTATTGGTATACTTAATTATGCACAAGGTGTTTATCATGATCGAAAATATGGTGTAAGAATTCCACTTGGTACGAAAAAATAAAATTCAAGCAAAAAATAAAAATAATATTTATTTATTTATTTTTTTTTCTTGTTTTTTTTAGATAAAGCTATTGAAAAGAAATTACTCGATGTAGAACTTATAAGTCAAAATCGTTTTGAAGAATATGATTTAGAATTAATAACTGATACAATTACAGAAAAACGTATTACATTATATAAAATTCATGGTGTACGTAATAATGTATTAGATCGTATGGAATCAGGTGCTGTAGCTGTTAAAAATCAAATAATTGATACAGAAGCTAAAACTTATACGGATTTTTCAACTGGTGAAACAATGCCTATACAAGAAGCTATTAATAAACGTTTAGTTGATGCTGAAATAAGTGAACATGTTGAACGAAAACCATTAGGTTTATCAATGCAAAATGCTATTCGACTTGGTTTTTATGTAGCTGAAACAGGTAAAAAAATCATTTGAGAATTCTAATAGAACAATGAATCTATTCTAAAAATTTTAGCACTATAGTATCGAATGAAGGCGAGTTAGTGCTATGACATATGTTTTATTATCTCATAATGTGCTAATTACTAAGATATTGACTATATGTCATGGCTTTTGGTGATAATGAAGTCGACATGTGGGACTGTCGTTCTCGTTAACAAACAAAAAATTTTCGAGTACATATGTCCGTTGAATATGTTTTCCCCAAAAGAAAAGAAGATATGTCAATCATAATTCTAGCACATGTAAACTAATGGATGGCGGATTAATGCTTGTAATTAGGGTTTTATTCTCCCACACATATATCCAAAAATATCAGCTTAATGTCATAAAGAATAAAACGTTAAGTTTTTAGTCTCAAAAGTTTGATCACAAACAAAACATATTGAATTCTAATCGATCTTCATGCGAATGTGCTAGAAGATCAACATAGAATACAAATTTTATGACGTTCGAACAGCCCAATATCACCAATAAAAAAATTCCATATCAAATGGTTTTCATATGATGCAGAATCATCGAGAAATGATCTATATTTCCAACTAATCTTGAAAATTCTCTCGAATGAGTGTTCTACTTTGATCAAAATTTCTTGATTCCAGTTATCGATAGAGAAGAGATCCATGCTAAGATTGTTCCAGACAATGAAGGCATCGTCGTACCAGATTGTATAGTCAAAATATCAGGAAAAAAGGATTGAAATTTACATACACTTTAGTAGAACTTCATTATAAATACTATAAGAAAAAAATCTATTGATTCGAATTTTTTTTTCTATTCTATTTCAATTCTTATAATTCATTTTAGGTACATTTCGTGATCCAGCTACTGAACAATATATGACATTAATGGAAGCTATTGAACGTGGTCATATACATGTAAATGGTATTGCATTTGCTGATAGTGAACAAGGTCCAATAACATTATATGATGCATTATCATTAGGTTTAATAAATCGTCGTGATGGTGGTAAATTAAATCCACCTAAAATAAATTTATATCGTGCAAGATTAGTTGAATCAAAATTACATCGTATGAATGTTGAAGATGCAATACGTTGTGGTTTACTTAATCTTCGTACAGGTTTTTATAAACATCCACATAGTGGTGAACAATTAAATTTAAAAGAAGCTATACAACGTGGTTTAATTGATGGACAAAGTACAATAATTGAACATCCAACAAGTGGACGTTTTATGACATTAAAAGAAGCATTAGATGGTATACGTATTGATAATGATGGACAAGTTATTGATTCATATACAAATAAAATTATAACAACATTAGAATTAGCATTTAATCATAGAAAATTATTTTCACAATTTGATGTTAATGCTGGTGAAGTATTTCTTCCATTACGTAATGAATCAGTTGGTTTTGAAAAAGCAATAAGAAAAAATTTACTTGATAATAATCGTATGAAATTATTTGATCCTAAAACTAGTCGTGAATATACAATACAAGATGCTATTGAACGTGGTTTAGTTGATTCTGAATCAGGTTTAATTTATGATACACATACACATACACAATATTCAATACGTGAAGCTATACGTCATGGTATTGTTGCTATTGTTGGTGCACCACTTGTACCAATAAAAGCAAATCATGATACAGTTGCAGCTAAAATAACATCAAGAAAAAATCGAAGACATTCATTAGCTAAAAGTTCATTACATTTTGATTATAATAGTGCACCAGATTCAGCTGATGAAGATTCACAAGGTAGTGGTTGGCATAGAATTAAATCAAAAACACGTGCTATTAGTCCATTAAGTTTTGATGGTCGAAATGATTTAAAATATAATATACGTCGACGTACAGGTTCAAGTCCAACACGAACATGTCGTGATGATGATTGGAGAACACGATGGACTGGTGGAAATAATAAAGATGATGATGATGATAGTACATTTGGATCAGGTGGTGGTGGTGGTTCGAGACGTTTTGGTGGAAATTCATTTTATTCAAATGTTACAACTCAAATACAACAAACAAATAATTCATCAGATCAATCACAAGGTGGACAAACATCATCGGGTTTTCAACAAAAACGTAAATTTAATAATAAAGACAAAAAATAATGTTTATATATTTTTTTTTTTTGATTTTTTTTAGAAGAACAATTATCTTCTTTATCAACAGTCACACCAAAGGTAAGCTAATCAATATATATATATATTTGGTACACTTTTTTCTCTATGCGATGCATGTCTATTGTAACTTAATCCTCTGTGTACATGTCACGATCATTGTTAGAAAATGTGAGTAGTAATTGTGAAATGCTTGCTTACTTGTTTGTTATTTTTTGCATGATTTAATAATAATAATAAAAAAAAAACAATAATATCACTTATTTTCTTTTCTCTATTTATTCTAGGTGAGTTTGGTGACATCCATCGTCCATTCTTCTTCTAATGACTATGACCACATTAAGTCTTCTTTGTCTTTTGATTTGATGTTTTTTCTTTCTTATTACTTTTATTTATTAACACTTGTTCCAATTTCTTCTTCTGCTTCATTATCTATTTTCGTAAAATGAACTTTGACGTACATATATATATATATATATATATCAATTAGGAATCTCTTCTTTTTGTTGTTTTTGTTACAATTATTATTATTATTATCCTTTGTTATGTGTACAGAACAAAAATTCATATCTTGTATGTTCTGTTTGTGTATAAACGTCTATTTTGTAATTGTCTCCAATTTTGTGCTAGTATTAGATCAAAAAAAAAACAAACTTAAGAAATCAGCCCACGTAGAGAACCCTTTTTTTTTTCTTTTAGTATATATATATACACACACTCTACCGCTGCACCCTTTTATTAAGATTGTACACTGTTCTTTTTTTTTTGTTTTCGTTTTTTTTTGTCTTGAAAAAAAATAGAGACAAGAAGATAGAGAAAGATTTAAAATATATGTATATGAAAAATGAAATGTTTGTTATTAGTAGAAAGGAAAGAAAAAAAAAGAAATAATAAATAAAACAATTTTGGTGTTAAGAAGAAAGAAAAAAAAAAAAAATTTGTTTTTAATATGAAAATTATCATTGAGTGTTTTGTTTTGCTTTTAAAATCTATAGTTAGATATATCATGAGTAAATGATGAATTTTATTAGTAGTTGGCAAATCAAACTAATCGTTTTTTGTTTTGTATGTAGAATAGAAATTTCTAATCTTTAATTGGAATATATATTAACATAAATATTTTATTTATAGAAATACTGACAATTTTCTATTTGAGTGAATTTATAATATAGTTATTTTCATAGATAATATGATTATATCAACACTTTTCAATTGTTATTTAACAGAAGAAAATAGCAAACTCTTTTCTTCTTGTCTCAATTTTTAAATCATAATAATATATGTAGAATATGTGGTTTAATCTAACACTATATATTAACAAATGACATGTAATTCTATATTATTTGTATGTTTCTTCACAACTATAATCTATTGATCGTATTTTTCACTCAATAACAACATTCAACTAATTTTCTTGCAACTTTCAGGACTCATCATTATCAAATAATCAGGAAAATGACAAATCAAATGAACCTATTGAAATCATATATGATGTATTATCAACAACAAAAATTTCTAATGATGAACAATCATTATTATCAACTATCGATGATAATAATAATGATATATTACAGTCATCAGTTTCAATTGAGTCAACTTCGAAAATACAGGTAAATTTGTTTTCGATGAATTGAATAAATAATATAAATAAAACAATGATTATTTATATGTATAGAAAAAATATAACAATTTTTATTTATTTCACTCAGATAAATCTTCGTAAGTTCGACAATGAAAAGAAAAACCAAGCTGCTCGTTTTCTGATATCACATTGTGTTTTTTTTTGCTCATATCCATGAAACCATTTGGTGTTAGATAAATAAACTACTATTAATAATTCTTCTTTTCTTTAGGATGATGAAAATTGTTTAATTTTGGAGATGCATGATGTTGCTGGTCGTTTAACATTATTACATAATCAATTAAATCAATATGTTTATTTAACTGAAAATCTTAATGAACTTCAAATAAATGTTGAACATATTAAAGTATAAGAAATACAATCAAAACAATAAAAGAAAACTTTTATTTATTTTTTTTTTATTCGTTTTAGAAATTATATGCAGAAATTGAAAAAGAAAAATCAATAATTCATAATCTTATTGAACGAGCTACGAATATTAATCCACAATTAGCAATATTAACTACAGATCTTGAAGATAAACGAGTTGAAGTAAGTGTACAATTTAGTCGAAAAATTATT